TCTCTCTCTCTCTTTTTCTCTCTCTCTATCTCTCTCTCTCACTCTCTCTCTCTCTCTCTCTCTCTCTCTCTCTCTCTCACTGTCTCCCTCATTATTTCTCGCAATCGAGCGAGTGAGAGGAGAACTAGAATAAAGAAACAGACAGAAAGAAAACAAGAAGGAGAGAAGAGGACAATACCCAAAACACACACCATTGGGCTCTTAAAACACGAGGAAAACGATACAGCAAAACAGAAAAGAGAGCCAGAACAATGAAATAATGTAACAATTTTCCTGTCTGTTTCCCGCCTTCTGGCCGACCAGACGATCAAGAGATAAAGGGAGAATAAAGTTTTAACTTCCAGTCCCGCGTAAGTTCTGAAGGATTATTTTCCTCCTGAAGAAGATATTTTTGAGCGACAGAGCCTCCATTTCTTGATATTCAAGGCTCGGATATCGTTCGTGACTAGACACACTTCTGATCTCCGGTAGATATGGCTTAATATACATGAGTAATCCAGAGACGTTCCCACTGTATTATTGTGGAAAGCAGATACGACAATATACAAAAACACTTTGCTACAGATCTGTACTCTTTGTGCAAACAGAAATAAGCTGTTTGCAGGGGCATCTGTTGGAACGACTCGCTAACCCTTCAAAAATATCGACTATAAAATAACCATAGACTACTCAGTTGTCGTCTTTCAGCCGGGTAGCCAAATTTGCACTTTACATCATTTTTATATCCGTAAAATAGCCATTTCCGACAACATGAACACTCTTCGGAGCATTCTGATGAATGGCTCGCTAGACAAATAAGAAATTATTTTGAAAATGCAACGCTAGGTTTTTAAAAAATACATCACTTTAAGAGAAAACAATCCAGAAAGCCGTATGCAGTTGCAAGCACCGTAAAACCTAAACTAAAACAAAAAACAAATCTAGAAAGTTGGGGATACAATAATCTTTCTTTGTTAGATTAAAACTTCAAACGTCAAGCTGTCAGATTCGTAACAAACTGCTTCACTGCAGCCCCTATATTAAATAACCTAATAAATGCGAGGCATTTTTCCGCAGGTTTGTGAATTTTTATCATATTTTTGTTTTTTTGGCACACCTTTCGTGCCCTTTAAAGAACTCATTTCTGTGTGGATTTCTCTTAAAAGCTTTGATTAAAGGCATAAAAAATGTAAATCTTCCGTTACCACGGACTCTTAAGCTAAGGAAATAACTAATCTTTGGGGGCCATTTTCTCACTAATTTTACCTCTAAAAACAGGTGACCCCCACCTCTTTTTTTTGCAAATATCTCGACTTGTATTCAAGATAAACGGATATTTTTTTCCATCCAAATAAAGACAAGTGACAAGCTTTAAGATGATGCCAATAACTTTACATGCCCAAAAATTGACGAGAGCCTGATTCCACCACGCTGCCTCACAAATGTTAAAATGGACGTCAAACCTATGACATATCATATTATTATGTAACTACGAAGAGTTCAGGCGGCATGTACATTGAACGTGTCTTACGTAGTAAACAGTACCCCTCTTGTCAGGTTTTTTGTCTTACTTTCTGTTCTAAGTTTGTTTTAACCTCTTCACTGCTGAGTAGACGTGTTTTCTGGCTTGTATTCTCCACTTATTTTGTTTCATCTGGTTGCAAAAGAAGTTTTAGTTGGTTAATATAGTTACCGTTTGTGATTTTGCTTATTCTGAAACAATTCTCTGTGTTAAAATATTTCAAGAACTAATATTTTATCTTGTCGGTACAAATGTTGATGGAAATGTTTCAGCAGTGAAGGGGTTAATTGTTACGGTGACATTTCTCTTCAGCCTACTCCTTGGATGTGATTGGATAACAGAAAAAGTCCATAAGATTTGTCCTACTAGCAGCCAACGTAGTGAGAAAACTGAGTTAGAGGGTAAAGATTTTTATTTTAAGGATTACGATTAACTAATAATCAATACTTATACACTTTGTAAGAGAAAGAAAAGGTATCATCACGGTTGGTACAATGCCATAGCCTCTCCTCCCTGCTCTCTTGGATCCATGCAAGGGTTGGCTAGCTTATCGCGGCAATTACCAAACTGAGTTAGAAAGAGGAGATGAACCTAACTGAGAACTAAACTGAACAGTTCCTCTAAATGCAGGAAGAGAAACAGAAATTCGGGCAAGGTATCTTCCGGAAAGCCACCTGTCCCAATAAAAGTAACACTGGAAGGCCATCTATGACCTGGTACGTGTAAGGACATTGGCTCTCAGTTGACCCCTGGTCATTCCTGAACCCCAGAATGTCATAAGTAAATCATGGTGGTCTTCGCTCCAAGCTTTATGACAACAAAGCCTAGCATAACTTTCGCCTACATTCGCCTTCTTTCCCTCTTATTATGGACATTTGGTTGGTGTTGTTTCCTTTTGAGCTTACATCACCGACCTCGTTAAAAGCCTTTGTGAGCAGGTAATTGTCTGTATTATGTTATAATTTTTTCTAAAATCTCTCTCTACCTTTCTGTCTACCTTCTCCAACCCCCGCTGTGACTGTCTGTCTGTCTGTCTGTTTGTCTGTCTGTCTGTCTGTCTGTCTGTCTGTCTGTCTGTCTGTCTGTCTGTCTGTCTCTTTTACTTCTTTCTCTATATTTTTTTCTCTCTCTCACTCCCTCTCTCACTCTCTCCCTTTCTCTCTCTCTTTCTCTCTGTCTCTCTCTTTCTCTGTCTTTCTTTCTTCCTCTCCCCCCCCTCTCTCTCTCTCTCTCTCTCTCTCTCTCTCTCTCTCTCTTGCACACACTCTCTCTCCCAAAAACAAACCTAAAACTAAGCTGAAAAGAAAAAGATCCCACAAATCCCGAGTGCGATGGTGAAAAACTCGTTCGTTCCTCGTGTCCACCTCCAATTACTCCACAGGTTTTGTTTGTGGTCATCCCTGTAGTGGACAGTGGCCAGTTTACAGCCCATCTGTCCTGGTGGCCGGCCCACAAGTGTCAGATTTATGAGAGCTTTGAAAAGTCTTTCAGAACGCGGCTGTTCACGGATGTCTTTGCACTTTTTGCAGCGCTGCGTTTGAGTCGTTGAGTTAGAATTTACGACGAGCCCGCGTGATAAAGGCCACATTTCGTGATCACAACAGAACTAATTCGTGTCCTCTTCTGCTTTTTTTGCATTATAAAATACTTGTAAACAGCCTGGTGGGTCCGTTACCTTTTCGTTACCTTAGAATTACATAGTTCTATCTGACATCTTTTTGGCCGTCCTGAGTTACTAAGACCATGGGGTCAGAAACCAAATGTGAGGCAGCGTGGTGGAATCAGGCTCTCGTCAAAATAATCAAAGTGAAGAAATTTGCATTTTTCCGCAGGTTTGTGAATTTTTATCAAATTTTTGTTTTTTGGCTCAACACCTTTTATGCCCATTGAAGAATTCATTACTGTGTGGATTTTTCGGAAAAACGTTGATTAAAGGCACAAAAAAGTACATTTTCAGTTACCATGGACTCATAAGCTAAGGAAATAACTAATCTTTGGGGGCCATTTTCTCACTAATTTTATCTCTGAAAACAGGTGACCCCACCTCCTTCATTCGTAAACATCTCGACTTGTATTCAAGATAAAGAGATATTTTTTTTCATTTTAATAAAGACAAGTGAACAAGTTTTAAGATGATACCAATAACTCTAGTTCCCCTAAAATTGACGAGAGCCTGATTCCACCACGCTGCCTCACAAATGTTTTATCAGATCAACTCTATCAAAATCGTAAGATTATTCGAAGTCGTTATTAAGATATTGAAGGCATTGCATTCGACAATGCTTCACATGCGTTTTACCAAACACGTTTAAAACGCACTTATATTTTAAAGAATAGTTGTGAGAGAATGCAAGTCTATACCCGTATCTCGACAGCACTGTAGCCCTAAGCAAGACCATCTGCATTATGAAAAGTGTCGTCACAGGCCATCTCTTCTACTTCTACCGGTCTCTTCTATTAACTCGAGCCTTTGTCTTTGCCTTCAGACAGAACTTTTCGGAACAGGGATACATTTTCCAAGCCTGAACTTGTGCTATGAAGGTTTTGAAATGTTCGCCATGCCTAGAATTAGTAGCGATAGTAAACCAAACAACAACAAAAACACCCTTGATGTGACGTCACAGGTATTCGATCGAGTCCTTTTGGCAAGTCCGTATCAACTTATTATGCACTTCCAGTTCCAGGTTTATGAAGTAATTAATCTTTGGCGCAGACTTCCATAAAACGGAACATATACTTTGTACGCAGCGCACTATGTACCCAGGGCATTATTTTTACAAAATAATGATTCAATTAAAAACGTACGGGAAGCGTAAAGTGAACGATGAACTATAGTTTCTTTAGCCTGTCTATTTTATATTTTGCAAAAAGAGTGTTTACAAGCAGTGTTTAGATAACGACGTGGATGGGTCAGTGACTGATTACAAGTGCGACTTAAATTAAATAATTGCATACTGTTTACGTGTCTGACATTGCACTTATTTCGATCAAATTGACACGGGCTGTAGCCCCAATAACTCGAACCATAGCTAATGAACAGGTTGCTCTAAATTGTGGCAAGGATCTTGGAACGAGACTATCTTTCTGTTTATAAAGTGTAATGAATTGTCATATTATGGTATGGTATGGTATGGTATGGTATGGTATGGTATGGTATGGTATGGTATGGTATGGTATGGTATGGTGTGGAAGCGTGACCTGGTGTGGAGTGGTGTGGTGTTTTTTGACGTTCGACGTCTATGATGTAGCGGTTTGACGCTTCGCTGTTGCAAGCAGGAGGCACAAGTTTGATACCCAAGTGGAGAGTAAAGTATATCAAATATCTCGGTCTTTCTGTTGAGATGTTGTATCCCTCTCAGCCCGGATTAGCCCTCACAGCCGGGGTCGGAATGATTTAAATTGTGCTGATTTTGAGGGGGGGAGGGGTTAAATCATTACCATCTTTCAAAAATGTGGCATAACGTGGCGTGGAGTAGTGTGGTGTGGTGTTTTATAGTGTGTCAGAATAACATGCTATATTATACTATGCTATGTTATACTATCCTAGGTCAGGATTGACTAAATCAGGATATGCTAAGGACCGGCTTTGGGATTCGAACCAGAATGATCAGCACTGTGGTAGTGTGACACGATATCATCTGAAGCAATCATTCTTTTGTGTTTTGCCGGGACACATGTGGTACACGCAGCACGGCACAAATACTTTTACAATAATACATGTCTAACATGGAAGGTGAATACTTTGGTTTTTGTGAAAGGAATATCTGAGGCAACGTGGTGGAATCAGGCTCTCGTCAATTTTTGAGCATGTAGAGTTATTGGTATCATCTTAAATGTATTCACTTGTCCTTATTTGGATGAAAAAAATATATATTTATCTTGAATACAAGTCGAGATATTTGCAAATGAAGGAGGTGGAGGATCACCTGTTTTCAGAGGTAAAATAAGTGAGAAAATGGCCGCCAACGATTAGTTATTTCCTTAGCTTAAGAGTCCGTGGTAACTGAAAATTTACATATTTTGTGCCTTTAATCAAGGTTTTTAAGAAAAATCCTCATGGAAATGAGTTCTTTAATGGGCATGAAAGGTGTTGAGACAAAAAAATTGATAAAAATTCACAAACCTGCGGAAAAATGCAAGTTTCTTCACTTTGATTATTTTGACGAGAGCATGATTCCACCACGCTGCCTCACATATAGATCCAAGTAACAAAATACAATGACAGACCAAACGTGGAAAAAAAGGTTGGGAGGGGGGGG